CAGTGTTGTTTGCACAGGTATTTTATTCTGTAAAAAGTCATCAAGCTGAATCTTTGTGTTGTTAAACTTTTCTTCGTGTTTTTTTTTTTTTCAGTAAGCAAAGTTTAATAAAAATAAGTTTTTGTTAACTGTGCTAAGGAAAATATTATAATATGACTACATTATCCCTCTGTCATCTCTTAAAAATATTAGAAATTTGTGGACAGATAAAGCAGCAATAAGAATGCAGCCAAACATACACAGCTAATAATTATTAAAAAATAATTTTCAAGGCATAATAATTCATTCATTGATTAAGCTGTTATAATTTTTAGTGAATTTTCTAATGTTCCATCTGTACACTTTTAAAATTTAGTGATTTTTAAAATTTCTTATGATAGTAATTCATCTTTACAACTACTTTCCCATTTTTAATTTTGTATTTTTTAAAGAAGGCCCTTCAAATTGTATAGCTTCAGATAAAATGCGTCATGGATCTGTCCCTATCTGTATCAACTTCATTAAACCACTGGTTAAAGAGACAGAAAGGTATAGCCGGAAAGTGGGATGTTGGACTTCACCATTTCTGAGATGCAGCCATGTTAAATGTGATTAAGATCTCATGTACTGCTCGTATTGCTCTGTGAAGATAGCAGAAGTGGTGGGAGAAGGTAAGTCACTGCCATAAATAAGTTCAGAATTGAAGAACTTTGTTTTTCAATGGTCGTTCTAGATTTTGCACTTCCCTAGGTTTAGATGTGTCCAGTCTGGATGATCTTGTGCACAGTCTTAACCCTTGAATAAAAGAAGACTAAGTAACTTGGGAGCATAGTACATGACAAAGACAAAGGCTCAAGAGTTTTTAGTATGATTAGCTGAGCCCCAAAGTGGATGAACTTCCAGAAATGTTGAAAAAGTAACAGTCTGGAAATGATAGGGTTAGCTAACCTATTTCCTTCCTACCTATTCCTCCTTCAAGACTCGGTACATAGCACCTAATGCATACCTTTATCACTATACTCACTGTCATAGCTGATTAGCTTATCTGTTTCCCCTTATAGACTATGAACTTCTTGGGAGAACAAATGAAAGAAAGGTCCACTGGGTTCCTTTGTTTAAATAAATGAAAGCTCTGTCAGGACCCTAGTGTTTAATCATTTTATCTTGATGCCTATTGTTTATTGTAGACACTTTCTGGATGTTTATTGCATTAAGCATGAAAAACTACATAATGAAACATTATTTCTTATATGTCTCGCTTTCCTGCTCCTTATTCCTATAAATACCACTTTTCCTTAATATCAATTTCTTCCATTGGCTACCAAGATTTTCTTCTCCTCCAGAGATACACCATCAAATTTATGAGCATGTCCTGGAATTTTTTAAAAAATAGAGATGCAATGTTCTGGCTTACTTGGATTAATTTCATTTTTAATCTGTACTTTGAAATTTATTGTCCTCATTTTGGTGATTGCTTTTCTAAATTTTTTTCTGACTCAGATTAATCTCAACTTTCTAGGCTGACCTTAATGTTGTCACTTGCATGGATAGGGTAGCTTTCTGGATGTCAATATTTCATTTTAGGAGTAAGAAATAATAAAGATTTAGTATAGGTAAATTTCATCTCATAGCAAAATAAACATTTTTATTTAAGGTCAATAATCCATTTACACTGAAAGCATTATGATTTTGTTTGTTTGTTTGTTTGGACGTGACCTCTAATTCTTTAACTTTCAGACAGTCAGTACAGACATGTTCCCACTCATGGGTCAAAATCAGTTTTTGTGGATGACTTTAAATCATAATTTGCTTTGGGGAAATAGATATTCTAGGCTCAAATCCTCCATAAGCTGGCTAAGTGCTTGGCATGCATTCCTTTACCATAACTCAGATTCAGAAAACAGAAGCTAACGTCGGTTGAGCATTCTCTGTGAGTCAAGCCAAATGCTAATCCCATCATAAGAAAATATTACCATACCTAATTATATTCTCCTTAATGAGCTCATAATTTTAGGTAGTAATTGTTTCTACTTTTAAAATAAAGAAAAGGAGGCTTGGAGAAATTCATTAACCTCTCTGTGTGTTGCCAGGAAGTGGCAAAGCCAGGATTCAAACCCTGGTTTGGGGAGAGCTTTCGTGATCTTTTATTGAACCACACTGCTTTGCTGTTCCCATTTGTCATGAAATGAAAAGTATTCATGCCAAAATACTGGAAAATAGTTACAGGGTTTACATCTTCTCAGAAAAAAAGGCCACATGCCAATTCAAGAAACTGTTTCCTATATTATTAAGTTCTATATAAGGCCTACTGCTTCAGTGAAGCCTTCTCTGCTCTGATCCACACCATCAGTTTTTTTCTGGATTCCTACTAGGCTTTTTATTTACTTCGCTCTGTTAGTGTATGATAGTGTCTCATCTCTTTGTTCTCTTTTGTATGTTTATACTTCTTTTATCTCTGTTATAAAGCTTATCCCAGAACTTGGATTGTAGCATAATTGGAATCAATGTTCCATCTATGTTGAATTAAAAGAGATTCATATGCAAAGGAAATATATTTTTAAAAACCAGAACATTAAACCCATAGTCATACAATCTTTTAAGTGCATAATACTTTTAATGGTGATGACGACTGCTGTTCTTTGCAACTTTTGATAATATTTTTCAAACACTTTGCTTTTCTTCATTAAACCATTGGTTTACTCATTCGGAAGCACCATGAAAGGGGAGTCAGAAAGGGTTGGGTCGGAACACCAGCACTGCCATTTAATGGCTAGATGTCCTTGAGAAAGTTATTTTGCTTCTCTGATCCTCAACTTCTTCAAGTTGTAGAATAAAGATAATGATAACACTTAGTTCATAGGATTTAATGTGATAATATGTGTAAAGTATCCAGAATAATACTTGGTGATTGATTGGTACTTAGTAAAATATATGTTCCCTTTCTTCCATTACTATATTCTCAAAATCTATTCTTATTTTTCCAACTTATGTATAAGAGAAATAAGGAGTTTGCAGGGGGTAACTAAGATGTGAGCAGATTGATAATACTGAGCAGGGTGCTCGACACATAGTCATGTCTTTTTCCCAATTATATTCTCTGCTGTGCCTTGAGCCTGACCTCGCACGCACCTTCATTCAGTTGCTGAAGCTTTTCGTAGCCAGGCTCAAATGCTAAGCCTCCCTTTACCCTTCCATTGAAGTGCCATTTCTTCTGCCTTCCTCTCTGAGTATGTTATCTCTCTGTTCAATGTCTCTGTCTCTCTCACAGTATGTATCAGGTTCTATTGTTATGGATTTCACCATTGTCTCCTTTTATGCAAGTACAAGTCCCAAGCCTTCCTCCTGCACATATAAACTGTATTCTGGTCTTCTAGGACCCCCAACTTTTGTTTGGGGAGCACATGAATGTCTGGCATGAACTCTAAAGAAAAGTGTCCACATGGCTCAGTTTAGAAAGGCTCAGCAAATCCTTGGGGGCCCAGCAGGCATGCCTTTTCTGAATGATCAAAAGTAACTATGTAAGGGAATTTTAAAGAAAAGTACACATCAGACAATGATGAGAAAAGCCAGTAGGTGTCCCCAGTGCAGGCAACATGGGACCCCCTGTAGATTTTACAGTGGCTTTCACTTTTTCTCTGCTGCTGATGAAGGATGAGGCTTGGCAGAACCTTAATGCCAACTCCATTCCCTTTCACATTGTCCCCTTCAGCCATATAATCAATTCCCTGACCATACCAGGTTCCTGTGAGGGTAAGCCCCATACACCTAGCCTAGGTGACCTTCATCCTGTATCCATCCCTCATGAGTTCTTTCTTATTCTTTTTTCCAGATCACCATTGAAGCATAAACTCTATTTTACTTCTGTCTGGGTCCTCCCTTTTGATTCTCAAGAACCTCAGCCAAACATTTCTTCCTGAAAATCAAAAGCTTTTGCTTTCAATTATTGTGTCTGATGTGGGCTTCAAGAGCTTATTCTGAAGTTGAAAAAAAGTTAACGTGTTTTATTCTTTCTCTCTGCCTTAAAAATCCTGCTTCTCTGAGAATTATTTTGTGGATGCCTGTGAGTGAGAAAATGGTTACATATAAAGAAGTGCAGAGAGGGAAAGTACCAAGATTATTATTTCAGTATAATATATTTGACATGACTTTATATTATTAGTATTTGCATACATGACTTCACTTCTAAAACTTGTAAACTCCTTCAAGTCATAGATTGAATCTTGTGTCTCTGTTTATCCTTTAAAAGGACCCAGCGTTTCATCTTTCATAGAGTAAGTAAATAGTAAATATTTGTCTAATTAAATTGAAAAAGCACAATACCTCTGTTTTTTTAAAATAAATCCAAGGGCAAAGTCACTTGGAATAACTTGGGGGCATAATAAGTACAAAAATACTGCAGTGTGCTAGCAAATTGATCAAGATTCACAAAACAATGGTATTTTTAAAATTGAAAACATGCTGAGAATTGTATTAGCCTTGTTCAGAAGGCCACATTATATTTTAAAAATGTTAGTAGGTTAGGTTGCACAAATTCAAATGCTCCTCACAAACTCTGCTGGAATTCTACTTTCAATCTAAATAAATTATGACTCATTTAATTAGTTGTGCCTGTGTAGCCAATTGAAAATTTTATTATTTGTAAAAAAAAAAAAACAAACAAGAGATATTAGAGATATTAGTTATAGATATGGCAAATAAAATTTAAAACTACTTTCACTCTAGATGTGAAATAATTCACTCCTTCCTTCCTTCCTCCTTCCCTCCCTCCCTCCTTTTTCCCTTCCTCCCTTCCTTTCTTCTTTGCTTCCTCCCTCCCTCCCTCCCTCCCTGCCTGCATCCCTCTCTCCTTCCCTCTCTCCCATGTTTCCTCTCTCCCTCCTTTCTCTATTTCCTTCCTCCCTCTCTCTCTCCCTCCCTTCCTTCCCCCCTCTTTTCCTCCCTCCCTCCCTCCCTCCCTCCCTCCCTCCCTTCCTTCCTTCCTTTAATTTTATTTTATTCTGGTTGTTATTGTTTTTATTCAGGTGACAAAGGAGAAAAAGGTTTGCTTGGAAAACCTGGAAAAAAAGGCAAAGCAGGTACAATATGCTCAATGTTCTCTTTGATTTCTAACATCATTCCAAATTTATTCATCTCAAAAATAAATGTATTTTAAATGAAAAGCAAGAGTCCTTTGAGGATGCTTAACCTTATTTAGCTTGGGCTGGAAGGAAAGGAAGAAGGGGGCTTTCCTCTCTCCCTGCTGGGGACTTTCCAAGCCCTGGGGAAGGGGATGATGGCACTTTCATCTCTGCCATGCTTACTATGAGAAGGAAGCCCAGTGTATCAGGAGGTAGCCTAATTCTTCTGGGCCAAGAGGAAACTCTGACAGTAGGCCTTGCATAAGCCTGCCATGCCTTGCCTTTCACTTGTATCTCAACCAAATACTGGCCATCAGAGTGCAGCAGCAACCTCATCTGATATAGACAGGCCCCTGGTTACAGAACATGCTTTTATTATCTGGGGGTATTCTCCTGGAGCTTTATTCCCAGTGCTTTATGCAGGGAAAGAAAGTAGATCATTCTCTGGTAAATTTCAATTGTTTCTATCCACAGGGTTATGGTGAAGACAATTCTAAGAACTGTTTGACATTCTTTATATTTCATATGAATATGGATAAATAAGGCCGTAGACATTTTGCTTTGGCTAATAAAATTATTTGTACTTTTCAAGCAATGAAGAAAAAAAATTGAAATGTTTATGTATAACAGCTATTAAACGGAAAAAAGGAATCGTTTGAATTTTACATGTGTTTCCTTGTAATTCCCTCTGTGTCACAGCAATATTTGCAGGTTGTTGAAAACATAGGTTTGCAAAGAAGAATAAAAGACGCATTAAAAGCATAGTTAATCACCTGGCCAATAGGTTGAAATCCCATCCCTACTAAAAATACAAAAATTAGCTGGGTGTGGTGATGTGTACCTGTAGTCTCAGGTACTCAGGAGGCTGAGGCAGGAGAATCACTTGAACCCAGGAGGCAGAGATTGCAGTGAGCCGAGATTGTGCCACTGCACTCCAGCCTGGGTGACAGAGCAAGACTCCATCTCAAAAATAAAAAAGTAATAAAATAAAACCATAGTTAATCTACAAACTGGGCAACTAGCTTTTTAAAATGTCAGTTGGATCTATTTATATGATTTAAACTTTGTCCTTGCAGCTGTATTTTAAATGGATAATTAGAATTAATATGTGATGTAATTGTGAAAAGTTTCTTCTGTCTTGGTAAACCTGTGTGATCTAGTAAATAATGCAATAACACAAGAGAGCACTGGCAGGAAATACATTTTAAGGAAGCTGTATAAATTTTATTCTGAGATTGAGCAGACACAGATTCTGTGTTCAACAAAGATGCCAAATGGTCCAAAATGTGCATGCAGTGGTTTGTCATACGTATTCTTCTTTTAAAAATCTGGTTTAGAATTATCTTATAGCTTATTCAAAACATTTACAAAGATATTTTCTGAAATTCTATAAATAATGGAAATTGGAAACCCTGTTTTAAATAAAAGGTTTAAAGTATAGCCATTCACAGATATATAGAACCAAACTGGAAAAAGATAGTGAGTATTGGAAAGAGGGCAAATGTTCCTTTCCGCTGGTCTGCATGTACTTCAACGAGTTTACAGTTTTCATCATTTCAAAGGTACTGTCTGTGATTGCGGAAGATACCGGACATTTGTTGGACAACTGGATATTAGTATCGCTCGGCTCAAGACATCTATGAAGTTTGTCAAGAATGGTGAACATGTTCTCTTTTGTTTTGTGTTATGTATCTATTGATAAATCCCTATCAGCACTATAATTCCAACACTCTTAGCAGGAAATATCTTGGGTTGGGCAAAGGGCTATTGAGATAGTGTCACCAGTTTAAAGCTCTCCCAAATTGCTAATTACCCACTAAGATTCCAGGACACTTCAAGTCCACTACATATATTTATATGTATGTGCATTGCTTATGGGAAGAGAAATAGACTTTCTTGGGTGAGGAGAATGGAGAAAAGAGCAGAGTGTGGCAAGCTATGCTGTAAGAATAAGAATAGACAGACAGAACTAGCATCTCAATATAGAGGTGATAATAACAATAGCTGCTTTCTTGAGTACATGGAATAGTACACAACTACTAGCATTATCTCACTGAGTTTTCATAGTTTTTATAATGTAGATACCATGATTGAACTAAAACTTAGAGGAAGTACCTTGCCCATAGATATAGACCTAATGAGCAGTAGAGCAGGAATGTACTAGAGGCATCTCTGACTCCTCTACTCACAATACAAACATTATGTGTTTCTCTGTGTTTCAACATCCAATACTGGTCATTTTTGTTATCCCTTATCCATTTTTTCAAAATAGTTATCAGAAAAGCCCTTGAAGTGGAAAGGGCTTATATATTTTCTTCTGAGACAGTAATAATAAGGTAACTATTATAATTAGTTACAATTGGTTCCTTTTTCTTATACTTCTATTTATTGTAACTCAGCTGTATTTGTTGTACATTGTTGGAATTATGTAGATGTTTTCTTGTAACACTAGAAGCAAAGGAAATACTTGATATTAACTAACTATACTGATTATAACTCTAGTTGTAATCAGGACTAAAGATTCTGTCTCTGATTTGACTTAGACTGCCATGAATAAGCCAGACCATACAGGGAGAACATAAAACAATAGTTCTGAACATTTTAGTGGTCATATATTTCTCCGTGAATTAAGTTTATGGATCCTAAAATGCATATGTGGAGGCCCCTGATACCCAAAACATACATGCCATATTATGAGTAAAGGGTGATTCTCAGTCTCCACTTCCGTTCTGAAGCTAACTCAATAGCTCAGTCTTCCTCTTGTACCTGGGATGAAATATGAACAGTCTCAATTCATGTACATGTTCACAGCCCAGGAATTCAACCCAATGTGGATAAACATATGTGTTATCCCTACATTGTTTCAATAAGCATTTACCATTCCCATAAGCATTCCAGGCATGGAGGCTAAAGAGTGTCAGAGACATGGTCATCTCCTGAAGACATTCACAGTTGAGTAGGAGAGAAATGCAGGCAAACAATGAGACTAAAACGTGTTGAATGCTAGAAGGAGGAAGTGAAAGGGGCAATAGAAACACAGGGAAGAGCGACTGCCATGTCTATCTGAGGGCATTGGAAAGACTTCTTCCAGGGGAAAACATTTCCACTGAGACCTAAAGGGTAAGTAGAAGCTTGCCAGGTAGAAAAGGCTTTCTAGGCCTGGAAGTACAAGAGAGAAGGGCATACTCCTGTGGCCACAAGTGTAACTTAAACATAAACTATGTTGGGAAATATAGTATGACATGGGCTGGCTGTAGCACGTAGCACGTCTTTGTCAACTTTGTGTTGGACAGCTGTGTGAGAGGTATAGGAGAAAAGGAAGGGAGAGCAAATGGCAGATATTTGTTCTCTATTTGATAACTGGAGGTAGGGATGATTAAACCAGTGACTACCTCATAATAGTAATTTGAAAAATAATTCTTGAACATTGAATAAATAAATGCAAATCTGGCAATTTTATTGCCTTTTATCTTTTAGAGATACATAATGATACTCTTCATTTCCCTCCCTGCAGTCATAGCAGGGATTAGAGAAACTGAAGAGAAATTCTACTACATCGTGCAGGAAGAGAAGAACTACAGGGAATCCCTAACCCACTGCAGGATTCGGGGTGGAATGCTAGCCATGCCCAAGGATGAAGCTGCCAACACACTCATCGCTGACTATGTTGCCAAGAGTGGCTTCTTTCGGGTGTTCATTGGCGTGAATGACCTTGAAAGGGAGGGACAGTACGTGTTCTCAGACAACTCTCCACTGCAGAACTATAGCAATTGGAATGAAGGGGAGCCCAGCGACCCCTCTGGTCATGAGGACTGTGTGGAGATGCTCAGCTCTGGCAGATGGAATGACACAGAGTGCCATCTTACCATGTACTTTGTCTGTGAGTTCATCAAGAAGAAAAAGTAACTTCTCTTACTTATGCTATATATTTGCCATTTTCCTGTGACCATCATTACAGTTATTTTTATCCATCCTTTTTTTTCCCTAATTATAGTACATTTGATCTGACTCAACACAACTAGGAAATGCTAAACTGAGGGGTGGAACCTCCATTATCATGCTTTTTTTGTGATGATTTTCATGTTTTCACACATGGTATGTTATTGACTCTGCAGCTCACTAGGTTACATGAGCCTTAAGAGAGCATTTTAATTCCTAATTGTATAGGACATGGTTGGTCGTCTACATGTCAAATGAGTTGTGCTCTTGCTATTTGCTCTACCATCTCTCCCTAGAGAACTCTGTGTCTAGCCCAGTGGATAATTGTCCAGTTTGTTGGTGATGATTAGGAAGGTTGTTGATGGCCAGGCTAACCTGCCTGGCCCAAAGCCAGGCTTGTAGAAGGGCTTTCTGTGAGTAATGATAAGATCTTTGAATCCAGGATGCCCAGATCTTTTACCAGTCACACCCTATGGCCATGGCCATACTTGAAAGTTCTCCATGTTGGCACAGACATAGAAATGCTTTAACCCCAAACCTTTATATGTGTGACTTCTAGCCTTGTATCTTGTTTCAGACCATGGGAATGATGAATACTCTTTTTGTGCTTTTGATCTACAGACTTCAGTAACATATACCAAGTATGTGCTTTGGAGCCCTTAGCCTAGGCCTTCGCCTTAATTTCAGGTCTCTACATATTCACAACCTGATTCAAGAAAAATGGAACTCTTAATATCAAATAGAAAAAATGGGGGAATTGTTCACAACAATTATTTATAGTTCTCTTGCTAAATTGCCCACTGCTATTAACATAACCTCATTTTGATTTATCTTAGGTTTACCTGCATGAGTTTTATTCACCTTAGGCATGGGAAATGAGGGAAGGAGTTTGCGATGCCTTAAGAAAATTCCGGAAGCTTCAAAGTACTACCAACATCATCTCCAGGCCTCCTTCTCCTTGCCTCTAACCTATCACTCATGGTGACATTTCATGGGAGGTCTTTTATTCTTCATAAATGTATGTGGTAAATATCCTACCACAGATGTCCTTTCTAATACTCTGACATCACAGAAATGTGTGAGGTACAGAATTTGGAACATGCCTAGAACTCGCATTTACTGTGCTGATAAAATTCTACCTTGAACTGCAGATCAAACCTCAAAGCAGCTTTCACTTGGAATTTAAAAATAAACAGTTCAGAGATACTCTAGATTATCACCCTATAAACTGCTGCTCCAGTTATGGTTTGTGGCATAGGATTAGACTGTTTTAAATGCTGGCAAAATGGTTAATGAAATAAGAGAAACAGATCAACAACATATGTTCACCTTAAACCATCTGTTCATGATTTCACTCATGACTAACTGGTTATGAGATAGGATTTAATTAGGTTATTTCTGTGGGTTCAACGAAGGCCATAAACTCAGATCCTACAGGGGCCAGGCAGATGATGTATGTAAATGAAGTGGAATAGATGGGGACCCTAGTGCACTGAGCACAGCTTCCCCTTCCAAAGGAACCGGCTGCTCCTCAGCGGCTGTTACTGGTTCTAGGGAGGACCCAATCTTGCTACATGTGCCGATATTCCAAGAGAAGTCAGAAAGCTGGGACTTTGTAACATATCCTCATATTTTAAAATGCTGGCAGTGAATTAATTTTTAACCTAAACTTTAAGTCATATGGGTTAACATTTAATTAAAATTACAGATTAGAGGTCAAAAGTCTTCTAGCCAAAATTATGATTATTTTATTTCTTAATTCTGGAGTAAGGTTTAGAATTTTCTAACCAAATGGAATGCCACTAGGACATGATGACATCAAAGTCAAGATGTCCCATTAATACCTTATTCCATTGAGCTTAATAATAGGAATTTGTTATATGTTTGGACATTTATCAGGTTACTAGGTAAACGCTTTGGAGATGATAGCACATGATATTTTAAAGGCAGAAAAGTTGAATAAAAATTACAAAGAAGGACCATCATATCAAAGCCAGTATCCTTGGATAGAAAGCCATCCCAGATCCGAGCAATAAAAACCCAGAAACACCTGTAGGAAAATAAAGCTCATATGTAAGAAGATAGGAAGGAGAGACATGCGGCAAATGTTGCTGATGGGCAGCTTCATGTTAAAGATCCATGTTCTGATTTTCTGTAAGCCCCCAAAGTGTGAACATTTGTTGTGTATACTGTAGTCACTATTATTACTATGAATGTTATAGTATTAATAGTTCTCTCAATGACTCATCTTTGCTGTGATGCTTCAAAAAAAAAAATATTAACAGAACTTCAGCCAATAAGGTGTATCCTGCAACCTTTCCTGAATGAAATTTTGAAGGCACCACACCATTAATTAAAATTATTATGAAAACTCAAATTTTTGAACCACTTTGTGCTTAATAAAATGCCTTCACATATCATTTTTTATTTGATTCTGATAAACTCTGTGAAGGATGAAAAACAATCAATTTTACTGCCACTTCCCAATGATAATACTGAGACCCAAGGAAGCTAAGCACTTTACCAAAATCAGCTCACATATAAAAGAAATCAATGCCTTTAGCCTGCTGCTTCAAACTGCCAATGCAGTGTCTTCTCCAATCTCTGTGCATTACTCATGTATGGAATGGAATTTCATCCACAATGATCTTGTGATAGCAGGGGCTCAAATGACTTATCTGCACTACATTCCAAAGTTAAAGGTGATGATTAATTCACAGAGATGATGGGGAACCAGAAAGTTGCCTTACAAATTTAGTTTTCACTGGTTTGTTTTTTAATTCACAAATGTCCACATAAGCCATTAGTGTTGAGGAGGTAAATTACGGCAGCAGTAGTACAATTCTGCAGATAACTACAGATATAGGGCAATCAAATCAGATACATAAAAATCAAGACTTGCCCCAAATAAGAATGAGCAAATAATTATTGTCCCCATAAAAGAATTCACTAGAGAAGTGAGTCACAGCTCAAACACAGTAGAAAAGTGTACACCCTTATTATAGAAAGACATAGCAAGTGTTGATTGCACTTTGGACAACTCACCCGCAAACACTGCCGGCATTTTAAAAATGCATTTCATCTGTTTAGATCTGTGTTACTCAAATATGAGCAGCTCTAATTGTCATTAATCGAACAATTTCCAGCTCTCTGGATTGCATACTTTGAGGTAACACGATACTTGTGGAATAGGAAAAGTAAGCTATACAGCATCACTCACAGCATCAACATACTGAGACTAAATTTTCTCAGTTATTATCAATGTTAGGAAAATGACAGTGTGATTCCATCCGGGGTAGCACTGGTTTGACAGCATCACTTAGAAATTAAAAGTCTAGATCTGATATCACAACTGCCCAAAGGCCACAGCAGCTGTGCTTCTTACTAGCCATATTAGGAGAGTATCTAAACCTCGCTTTTCTAATCTATATGGTTCTTCCTCTCATAATGTCGTGACAAATAAAAGCAGCAATACAATGAGGTATCCAGCAGAGTACCAGTAAAATAAGTTATATGAATACAAAGACACTTAGTCATTACTACCAACTGCATCTACTACCAGATGCATGTTGGAGAGAAACAAAACGTATTTTAACATGTATTAAAAATTACCTATGTGAATATATGTCTATCATATGTATACTATACACACAGCATATATATGCTGTATGTATCTACTAAATGTGTGTGTGTGCACATGTACAACAAGGTAAATTTTTTATACTTATTCAACAGATTTTTTTTTCTGGGAAGGTAAATAAATTTGCTAAAAGTTTGTACTGCTTGTTGGAATCAGAGCTAAGGTCTATCACTGGATATGATTGATTCTAAAGCTGTACTTTTTAAAATAGGATCCAGTTTATTGTAACCTATGGTGATCACATTAACTATTTTTTAACTTCAAGTCAGTAATTTATATCTCCTTGAGGTTATAAGGTCTTCATAATATAGACAAATTCTCTAAAATTCATGGGGAAAATCTGACCTATCCTTTCACATGGGATTGAAGGAAAGGAGCCACTGACCACAGATGTAAAGGTGTATATGGACCTTTTTATGAACATAAGACTTTATTTTACTGTTCCCCTAACACATGGTCATGCAGTTTGTATTGAACATTTTTGATAATCTGGTAAGACTATTATTATTATTATTGTTATTATTGAAGTGGAGTCTCGCACTCTCGCCCAGGGTGGAATGCAGTGATGCGATCTCAGCTCACTGCACTACGCCTACTGGGTTCAAGCAATTCTCTTGCCTCAGCCTCCTGAGTAGCTGGGACTACAGGCATGTGCCACCACACCCGGCTAATTTTTTGTATTTTTAGTAGAGATGGGGTTTCACCAATTTAGCCAGGATGGTCTTGATCTCCTGACCTCATAATCCTCCTGCTTCAGCCTCCCAAAGTTTTAGGATTATAGGCATGAGCCACCATGCCTGGCCAGTTTTTTCTTATAGTGACCTAAAATACACTTTTCTCTAATTTCTACCCATTGTCCCTGTCCTTCCTTCTGCTGTTTATAACTCTGGGAAGTTTGACCCTGGCACAAGCTGGAGCACCAAGAGCAGACTCTTAAAGAAAAGACAAGTAGGAAAGGGAATAACTGTCCTCACTAGATACGCAAAAGTAGATAAATAGGACTACACAAACCTCAAGACCTAGGTCATATGCTCCATACTCAATAAATTTAAATTTTGTTGGTGAAGCACAAGAGACACAAATATGGAGAATAAATTGTATTCAAAGCCAACTGCAATATCTCAAATGTAACTAATCTCTTAGGAGGTAGTACATGGTAGACAGGGTTTAACCCCCAGAGGAGAAAGCCTTTAAAAGGGAGATGGTTGGTAAGGCCCCATAAAGAGGGTTCAGAGCAGATGCCCAGTGCCAGTGGGAGAATGAAGTCAAAATCAGAGCTCAAATGCATGACACCTACATGGTAAACAATTAGAAAGGCTTTAGCTTAGATGAAGAGTAGAGTTTGTTAACTCATTCATTCATCAAAAAATGTTTATGGAATATCTAAGATGTTTTAGGCAGCACCCTGATGTGGGGTGGAGGCACAGTAGAGAGAAGGACCGATTGGATCTTTAGCCTTCAGACTCACTGAACATCAAGCCTTGCAGCACTGAGGCTCAAGATTCTACTCATTGTCAGGATTACATAAATCTATCCTATTTTTATATCTATGTTATGTTGCAGTGTAATAGCTCTCCAGAAATATACTGAAATAAATTAGGCAAAAGAATTTTTGTAGAAGAACTGCATCACCCTTTCCTGAAGTATAACGTTTACACATCTGCTCAAATACATTAACATGCCCATTTTGGCTTGCTCATTATGATATGAACAAGATGTTCCCATGTTAATGTAAATACTCACCCACTCCATCTCCTCACAAGATAGAATGCATCCTTGTGGTTGTGCATGAATGAGCTTTGGCAATTGGCAAATGTTCTTTTGCCTTAGTTTTCCATGGTGACCTACACCTGACATTCAGTGAAACTCACATTTGCTATAGATTGTCACTTTCATAATGAAATAAGGGGGGGTAGGGAGAAAGGGAGAAGTGAGTCTGTCATTGTGTAATGTATTAAAATGTGAGCACAGCAATTCCAGATGAATCACCATGTTGATGACTGCAGTTGGGAGATAATGCAGACAAATCGGTGTTACACAATTTTAAAGCTGTATAGCCCTTTAACATACATTTTTTGCTTTAGAACCATTAAACTGATGAATTTATCAATGTTAATCCTTTCTCTTTGTATAAATATGGTTGATAGCCCTTTGGGAGAGGTGTTAAAGATGCTAACTGTCTGCACTCCATGTCTTGATGTGCTGATAGAAGGCTAGGCTCAGGAAGCATACTCATAACCCTTGTTATGATTTGTAAAAACTCCAGGGGCCGGGCGTGATGGCTCATACCTGTAATTCCAGCACCTTGGGAGGCCGAGGCAGGTGAATCGCCTGAGGTCAGGAGTTCAAGACCAGCTTGATCAACGTGGAGAAACCCTATCTCTACTAAAAATACAAAATTAGCTGGGCGTGGTGGCGCATGCCTGTAATCCCAGCTACTAGAGAGGCTGAGGCAGGAGAATCGCTTCAACCCGGGGAGTGAAGATTGCAGTGAGCCATGATCACGCCATTGCACTCTAGCCTGAGCAACAAGAGTGAAACTCCGTTAAAAGAAAAATCCAGGAAGGCACAGAAGCATTTTTGAAGTCTTGATCAAATAAAATAAGGTGAGAAATAACTTCAAAATACATTCCATTTAAATCCAACAAGGTCTAGGTGAATATTTTTACTAAGAAGTGTTGTCTATATACTATAAAATTGTTGGTGACCCTTCCCTAGTAGATGACAACTTCCCATGGTTATTTCCTGAATAAACTCAGAGAAGATGATTCTAGAAAAGGTTACCAGGAGAAACAGAAGTGTTTTAGAAGTGGATGCTTTCTGAAAATATTTATGTTTAAAATAGTTTTCCTCAAATTCCATGTTTTATAAGATCTGATCTGTGACTTTGCTGACCTTGTTCAGTCCCTTTTCAAGGACTTAAACTCTACAATTGATGAAGGATTATTGTATGCAACTTACAGATACTATAGTTCTCCCATTCACAGAAGAGGTACATTGTGTTTTCCTTAAATTTTAGGGCAAAATACCTGAAGGACCTTAAGACCTAAAGAACAGAATTAACAAACACAAGAAGCTAGTCCCAATTTTAGTCTCTGTATTTGACAAAAAAAAAAAGAGATAAGCTATTTTTAAAATGTATTTGAGACACTAAAATCAAACATCAAAAAATGACAGTTTTTGAATAAGGCTGAAAAATATTTATTGTGGGTTTCCTAACCCTAAACACTTCAGCATAGAGACATTTTATAAAAAGAATAAGTAAAGGAAGTCAGAGAGTAGATAAATGGTTTTGTCTTCACATTTGAAAGTGTGGAAGAGCAAATACTTGAGCACTTCTTTTCTTAGATCATCTATCTCATCGGGGTGGTATCGGGCATTATACAACTGCTTCTCTTTAAAAATTTCTTGTTATAAGTTTCCCCTATCATTATATTTCAGAAAATTCAGTAGCTCAATGTGCACTAATGTCCTGGCCTCACCTTTTCGTGCCTTATGTATTATCTAGATATTTGCAATGTGAAATTACCTATGAGGCAAAGGATGTGTCTTTTTTATTACCATAAACTCTTTGTTACAAATGAACAGAAATATACTTAATATGTGGGCCCTGGTATGCAAAAAATTTTTTCACTGGAAATTTTTATGGTCAAATAGTTTGCAATCAGTCCTAAATCACTCCTAAATTTGCATGCTGGGATTCTGAAACATACTTGCATTTCACATAATCTTTCTGGCCCATAAATTCCTGATAATTACCAACCATAGTTGTTGAAGAATATCCTCACCTTTTGCAGAAGTGTAATTAACACATACACACTTGGATTATAGATTCATAGTTTCTTTATTCTTAACATCAGTTCTTCCTTTCACACCCAGTAATCCAGGGTAAAAGGCAGTTTCATCTGTTTTGTGCTTAGACCACGGAAAGTAAACTCACTCTCGTTTAGGTTTATGTGCTCAATCATTCCTTATTCTAAGGGATCTTTGGGGGAAACTTTGATCTAGAGAATCTCTTTCCCATGAAGCTCAATAAGTCCTACCTCAATTCACCAAAACTGGACAAAGTGCTTTTTGAACTGGTATCCCAGTGTATCAGCCCATTCTCACATAGCTATAAAGAACTACTTGAAACTGGGTGATTTATGAAGTAAAGAGGTTTAATTGACCCATTGTTTTATAGGCTTTACAGGAAGCATGGTTGGGGGAGCCTTGGGAAACTTACAATCATAGCAGAAGAGTAAAGGGGAAGCAAGCACCTTCTTCACATGGTGCAGCAGGAGAGAGTAAGAAAAACAGGAAATGGCACATACTTTTAAATGACCAGATCTCCTGAGAACTCACTATCATGGGAACAGCAAGGAGGAAATCTGTCCCCATGATCCAATCACCTCCCACTAGGTCTCTTTCCCAACATTAGGGATTACAGTTAAACATGAGGTTTTGGTATGGACACAGAGCCATGCCATATTATTCTGCCCCTGGCCCCTCCCAAATGTCATGTCCTTCTCAGCATTTCAAAACCAATCATGTTTCCCAACAGTCTGCCAGAGTCTCAACTCATTCCAGTATTAACTCAAAAGTCCAAGTCTAAAGTCTTATCTGAGATAGGGAAACTCCCTTCTGCCTATGAGCCTTTAAAATCGAAATCAAGTTAGTTACTTCCAAGACACAATAGGGGTATAGTTATTGTGTAAATGCTACCATTCCAAAAAGTAGAACTTAACCAAAACAAAGGGATTGTAGGCCCCACATGAGTCCAAAACCCAGCAGGGCAATCATTAAATCTTAAAGCTCCAAAATAATCTCCTGTGACTCCACGTCTCACAGTCAGGTCACACTGATGCAAGGCATCACTCTGTGTCTCTTCAGGGTATAGGCCCTGCAGCTACTTTCACATGCTGGTATTAAGTGCCTGTGACTTTTCCAGGAACATGGTACAAGCTATCAGTGAATCTAACATTCTGGAGTCTGGAGGATAGTGGCCCTCTTCTCACAGCTCCACTAGGTG